TGTGTCCGCAGGTCCATTATGTCCGCCCCATTGTGTCCGCAGGCCCATTATGTCCGCCCCATTGTGTCCACAGGCCCATTATGTCCGCCCCATTGTGTCCGCAGGCCATTATGTCCGCCCCATTGTGTCCACAGGATGCGATTGTTAATCAATAAAGTCTCAGGTATTTTTTTTTTCAAAAGCTTTCCCTTTTTTAAATTCCTTGCAGGTACTTAAATGTATGCTATTATTCTTCCACAACGGCTCAGTGTTGAATCATGTTCCTGATGAAAAATGAAACAATAAAACAAAAGTTTACTTATTCTGGGTCAAAATGATTCTGTGCGGATTACTTTGTGCATAATTCCTTGTATTGAGTTTCATGGAAATGTACATACATGTAGATAGTAAATGCAATTCATGAGCAAAAGTTTTACTTTTTTGAGTAAGTGTGAGTTTGTTTTTGCATTCAATAAGGTCCCCAATTCACATAGGGTCCCCGAATAAAAATTGTGCACAAAACATATGGGTGGTCTTTTAAAAGAGTTGAAGTAAAACAAAAGAGGAACAATACGGGGTCCTCAGTTGCAGGAAAATTGTGTGCGTGTGTGAGTGTATAGGGAAGGGGTGTAACAAGTCGCCCTACACGTATGTTTCTCCCCCATTCAACATGTGGAAATTATTGACTTCGACCGTGGGAGACGGTTACTTGACCCGCGGCCGGATCCTCGTGAGCCGTATGGAAAAGTCCTTACCAACTTGCCAATCCGTTGTTGAGCCTTCTCGTTTTGAAGACTTCTTCGCACAAAGTTAATAAACGGATTGAAACTCTTTGTATGTGCCCTAGAAGGCTTAAATCGAATAAAAAAACTACAGAATTGGGAAAAGAAACACGAAAAAAGTTTGAAATTTAGCCTCAAAGTTGTTGCTAAGATGATAACTTATTTCCATTTTCAATCGATCACTTCATCTTTTTCCACAAAATTTCTCAATTTTAGATGTTCTCCCAAAACAGTGAGACACTGCATACGACAGGCCAGAATCTCAACTACACGGTACAATCAGTTCTATGTACATGCAGCTATATATTTTGGTTCGAATTCCATGAGTTTTATTTGATACTTCTGCGCAGGGCGATCTGTTCGTGTTTTATATGCCCAAAACCGATCCAGTATACTGCGGGTTCTTACCGCGGCGTACACGTGCATGTGCAGGTGCAAGGAAATTCTCGACCGTTGGAGCAAGTGTACATGTACATGTTCGTGTGGTTCATGCTCGCACGTACAGTACATGTAGAACTCGGGATATATTTAGTTGTTAACAGTAGTAAAAGTAAAGAAACTGAAACCTGTCAAACCAGTTCATATTCTGTTTAATGTGTTCTTCAAAGTTAATTACCGTTGCAGGTTGAAGCAAATCAAGGTTCAGTATTAATTTCACGTCAAGTTTGCAATCGTATTCGGTGGTTGCAAACTGTACTTTCATTTTGAGTACATTTTATACTTTATGAATTTTTAACTTCAGAACTATTCTTTGGGATCAAAATGCCATTTGCACCACCATTTCACCTTATTATTGGCTGTAAATCATTGCTAGTTTTAGTCTCATTCGAGCCTGTCTGGTTAGCGAATGTTCTTAATGTTGAAAGTGTTGACTTATGAAGTAGTACTGATATTTAAATTAAAATTTCATAATTATAAATCCAAAACGAAGGCAGGGAAAGGAAGTATTCTTGGGTTTTAGCGTCTGGTTGTCCTGAGCTAGAGAGGTTTGAAAAGTAAAAATAACTAACCTTCTTGATTTCAATGTTTTTGTGTGGTTATAGAGAAAAATGGTTAAATTTGCAAAACTGAAACTTATTACATCTGTTATTTATAGTCAACACAGATTCTGGAGTTTGTTTGTTTGTTGGGGTTGTTGGGGTGTTTGTTTGTTTGTTTGTTGGGGTGTTTGTTTGTTTGTTTGTTTGTTTGTTGGGGTGTTGGGGTGTTTTTTTTTGTTTGTTGGGGTGTTTGTTTGTTTGTTTGTTTAAAAAGCTGATAACCGATGTAATGAAAATTGCGTTCATATTCTGGGGTTTATTGTATTTCATTTTCTGGTATGCTATGTACTCTTTACGTATTTGTTCACTTTCAAAAATGTTTTTGTACACTCACAAATATTACTTGCACCTAAGTTTTCCGTTGCTATTAGCCTTGATTTATAACTGTTCTTAGTCTCAATAAAACGTGTCGGTTAACATATTACTCTTAAAAGTTTGAACATAAATTGGTTCACCTCAGCGTTATTAATCAGCTAAGGGTCTCCGTTTTAAATAAAGGATCCATGAAATGAGGTTTACTTGGAAGCACTTTTTGTGTATCTCTGCACTCTTCTTTGATGTATGAAGACTGTTTGACATCCTTTTGAATTGCAAGAGTTACACGATAAAAACATTTAAAATTGACCGATCATTTGCAACATTCAGTGCAATCACAGGTTTCCTTATGAATGTGCAAATTGCATAAAAACTTTAAAGAATCAAAAATATGGGTTAAAATTGCCAAAATATTTCCACCAGTTCGATTGAAACCCTAAGGTGCAATTTGAAGGATTTTATTAAAATATTTCTATGATGATCCCTCTAAGCGTGCACAATGCAAATAGTGTCTGCTTCTTTTTTGAACACCAAACAAATGTATAAGAAAGACTGACGAAATTTGCAAAAACGATTATAAGTTTCACTTGTGTGACTGGCCCGTCACTGTCATCCCATGAAATTCCGAATATTCAGACAGAAAATGAATCATTCATAGAGTAGAACCGGTATGTTCCATGTCATTATAAAGGATACTGAATAACAGTTGAGACATGTTGCAGAAAGAATGGGCCTGCGGACACAATGGGGCGGACATAATGGGCATGCGGACACAATGGGGCGGACATATTGGGCCTGCGGACACAATGGGCCTGCGGACACAATGGGCCTGCGGACATAATGGGCCTGCGGACACAATGGGGCGGACATAATGGGCCTGCGGACACGATGGGGCGGACATATTGGGCCTGCGGACACAATGGGGCGGACATAATGGGCCTGAAAAAGTTTGCGGACATAATGGGCCCTGCTGACATAATGGTCCGGAACAAACGTCAGATACAAGTTTTTAAACTTCGGCTCTCTCTTTGCACTGGGAAAGCTAATGGGCCTGCAGGCAAGTTATGTGTTCAGCGGTGTTGGCAAGCAAGCGGCCTTACAGAACTTCGACTTGCTCGTTACACACAACACTGAAATCTATGAAAACTTTACACAGCCTACACCTTCCAGGAAGCTCAATATGCACATATCCAAGTATCACCACCAGTAAATTCTCTCTCCATGCTGGTCACAAAAATCTAGAGTGCATCAGCAGGCAAGCAGAGCCCTTTTTCATGAAGTTGCATATGCTTTACTGCTTTTAAAAGTAGTCAAGTAGTAAAAGTGGCCTTGTTGACGCTGATGACAAATCTCATTTACAGCAGCAACCTTCTTGGAATAACCCTGAAACCTTATATTAAATAAAGTCAATTGATTATTCTTTAAACTTTGCTTGCACAGGCAGGTTCCCCTTGCTTTTTTTTCTCTTAAAGGGAAAACGCCCCTTTTGAGACAAGTCTTGAAAACCTTGTCCACTCAATTTAACACCCTGACGTAGAGGCGGCATGACTACGACCCTTTCCTATGAACATATGTACATACTAAATGTTTTTCGATCAACTTGATGGTTTCTTGTCTTTAATTTTGGTTATTTTGTAAATCTGAAACATAGTTGTGAAATAATGTATTGCTTAGGTGTGTTTGAGTTGACTGTTAAATAACTGGCTAAAAACACTAACTTTTCTAGGAGTAAATACATACGCAACGGTTAATGTGAGAAAAAATGTATGATTTATTAAGAGGATTTGGTTATAAAATACATTGAAATAGAATAAGACTAAAATTGAAAATCAGTATTTTAAAATCTGTCTGAGGCCCCCGAAATTATGGAACTATTAAGCACCCCTCTCTGATATAATCTTTTCAGCACGGCTATAGATACAGTACATTTACAGGATTTTTAGATACTGCAGGTTCCCAAAAAGCTTTGCGTGTATAAAATAGCTATCCATTGATATTAATCTTTTCAAGGCGTAAAATTTTTACCAACGTTTTCCATTAAAATTGTGACAACAGATATGCCACTCCAAATCTTTAACCTGGGCTCCATGCTGCTTGTATGCTGCATGCCCACGTTTAGGCCTTGTCCACAGAACTAAAACATCTACCACGGCCCTAACACAGGGATAGCTCCGCAAGTGGAACGGTGTCTTAATGCTTTGACTACACCGCGTAATTCGCTGACAACATTTAATGGATTCGCTACTTTACATAATGGATTCACTTAACACAATTCTTCTTAGGTTACTTACAGGGGTAGCTCCCCGCGTGATACATTTGGAACTTCACACGATGGATTGATAACTTCAATAATGCATTGCAACTTCACATAATGTTTTGAAAAACATCACAAAATGGAATGACAACTTCACGTAATGGATTAACAACTACACATAATGGATTGACAACATCACATAATAGAGTGAGAACTTCACATAATAGATTGCGAACTTCACATAATGGTTTGACAACATCACATGATGATTCAGAACTTCACATATTGATTTGACAACATCACAAAAAGGATTGAGAACTTCACGTAATTGATTGACAACTTCACGTAATGGATTGCAACTTCACATAATGGACTGATAACTTCACATAATGGATTGACAACATCACGTAGTGGATTGACAACATCACATAATAGAATGAGAACTTCACATAATGGATTGAGAACATCACATAATGGATTCACAACTTCAGATTGAGGACATGATCAAACTATTTTCACAGAGTCACATCGTATTTTTGTGCATTTGGCGTTCCAAATTTAAAACCCTGATTTCATAGATTCCGTATTGAGTATTCTTGTCAATCGGCAGCCAATGCCTCATGCTCATGCCAATGAGCGTCACTAGGGTTTCTTCCATTTAGGGGGTGGAAGGAGGGGCAAAGCACTTTTATGGGCTCTTCATCAGTGGCAAAGAATCAACCGTAAACGATGGAAATCTATGAATCCATAGGTATTTCCAGGCAAATTGACGACTTTCGTCCATATTCATGTACGTTTGTCTCTTTCCATTTTTACAATTCTTTTCCCACTTTTTTATTTTTGATGTCTTAATGGGGGGGTGGCCCCAGTGCGACGCCAAGGGCGTACCCTCAATTCTGTGGGGAACTACTGTTGCAGTGTAAGGCTCTACATTTTTTTTTCACACTGAACAGAATTCGATTTAGCTAGTATATCACTTTTTGGGGTGTGTCAGGACGAGTCCTGTTTCTTAACCGCCCAAAACAAGTCTGGCAAACAAGTCTCACAAAATTTGATTGATTGTAAAAATTTACACAAATTTACTGCAGCTGCAATACAGAGTGTCTTTTTTGAGTATATCAGTGAGGCTTCTACAGCAGAGATTTGGAATCCTAATATAAGGTAAAAAAGAGCCTGGTTACCATGGGAGTAGTAATAAGTCCATGTGACATTAGAAGCAGCAAAAACTGATATATATTATGTCTAGGCCTATATTAGGAGTCTACCGGCTGGTATCTTCATTCACTTCCTGCAGACATGCTGTGTTTCATGTTTCAGTGGCGTAGCGAAGGCATTTTCTTTGCCACGGTGTTCCAGAGTCAATGTGCCGACTTGTAACTTGTTCGCCAACCTCGTGTAGTGCAAAATTCACAGTGATCCGTGGTACGCTTCAGGGGAAATGCCGATGGCCAGCCAAAGTATACGTTTTAGTACCAATTCTTTGTTCTTTTGCCGAAGGAAGCTCTATGAATTAATTAATTGGGTCCCTTACCCCCACACCCTCGGTCGCTACGCCCCTGCTTCCGTTCATTTTCGAATTCAACCTTTGGCTTAACATTTAACTTTCGTCTCTGCCGTTTCAGCGGTAGGTTGCCAGCAAGCGACAAGTCCGCCCTCTCCAGGTGTATGGACGATTACAAATAAACACGACCAACAGTGCATGGTGATGTCGTTCTCCGCACAAGTAGAAGCCATTTACGGACAGACGCAGGTAAGCGGATTCGCTTTATCGATTCTCTGTTCAATCCCTAATAGGTCCAATCACAGAGCAAGGAAATTGTTTTATGGCCCAGTCAGTTTATTTTATAAGACAGCTGCGTAACCGGGGGGGGGGGCTTGGGGACAAGTACCAACACAAACAACCCCCAGTTCCCCCAGGCGCCCCCCCCCCAAAAAAAAACCTTTTCCTTCCCTAACCCAAAAAGTGAAAATCATACTTTGCAAGTCTGCAACACTGACACGAAGCTTCTTTGAGATGTTTGATTGGCCTGCACTTCCAGTCAAAACAAAAGACGCCTCGGTCTGACATGGTGACCACATAGTGTGCGGATAAAACCAAGCCAGCTATTACAGTCCTTATTTCTGGTCATGTATAAACTTAAATCAATTCGGACTTACGTTGCTCTTCCCCAGTCAGCCATCCCTTCTCCAGCCTGTACACAGTATATGGTCGTCGAGCTCGGGCTGTTGCATAACCCTTATATAAGGCGCTCTCATTTGATAGCCTTTATTGCACAACGTGTATCATACGTGCACATTAGCAGTCAGTAAAAGTCCGACTTGATGGATAAGCCAATCGGGCCCCCAGTTGGTGATATGTAGGTATTCATAAGTGCATATGAATGACATGATCTTGCATGATGTATACCGAATTTCCACGAATCAAAATAGTCACACTTGGAATTTCCACCAATTAAAGTTGTCAGACTCGTAGACTCGTTCATTTTAATGCAGGTGTGAACAATTTAAAGCAAGTCAGGCAGTTTGATTGGCTGCTGCCACTTTTGGTAAATGAGCTGATTCGCTGTGTACAAATTAAATGGTTGGCACATTCGTTAAGTCGGGATTTCTGAACTCACAGTGATAAGTGGACACGAGGGCTCGAAGCAAGTAACGCCGCCCAGCCTCCATATCCAAAGTATAAACGTAGACAACGTCACAGAGGATTCCACCTTGGTCAAGTCCATGTCATATAACGAAATGAATGTGCAAAAGAACTTTTTGAATAAAACAGTGACTCAACACACCGTAGAAAGCTGGTACCGTAAACGACGAATAAATGTTCATTTGCGTCCAAATCAAAGAACTTAACAATCACGCATCTCCAGAACTTCGCTTGGAAACACAAAATTTGCACTTTTAACTGTGTTTCCGAAATTTTAATTCTGAAACTCTATGCATGAGAACCACGTTCTGCGATTTCTTCTTATTCAAGTCCCTGCCATCGAAGGCTCGTATTCCTGTGCCTATGTAAGCTCGTTAGATGAGATGGCCAATCCCGCCCGACACCTCCAAGCTAAAAACCCTAATGCGATCCATATCCGACAAACCTAGCTCAGTCTGATCCAATCCCACCCAACACCCCTACATTATAAACCCTAATCCGATCCAAATCCTAGAGACTTGGCTCAATTCGATCCAATCCCATTGGATTGCCTTTGACGCCCCAATCTGAATCCAATAGGACGCTGACGGACAAACACTGCTAAATCTAATCTGATCCGATAAAATCCAAAAGGCAAACAAAAATAAACAAATTACAACTTTAAAGCCAATTCAGCGTGCCACCGTTACCATCATATTCATATTGTGTGAGATGTCAATGACTTAACATAAATTGTCGTCACCAAGTTTAGCTTTTGTTTAATCTCAAATTTGTTCGAACGGCAGACAGACATATTGCCGATATTCTTCATTTTTATTTGTTAAAAGCTTCACATTTTTTATGAACTGGCTTAATGTTTCTATATATTCTACATTCTAATTCTATTCTATTAAATAGCAAGAAAGCCCGGTTACACTTAGTTTGGAAGAATAAAACTACTTGATTGTGGCAACACCTTGCAAAGCGCCCTTTGCAAAATGATATAAAATGATAGCTATCGTATCATTTAAAGATGGTTTCAGTCACGTCGTTTATGTTAGGAGATAAACCTGGATAATCTTTAAACATTACCGCTGCCTTATTTAATACCCATTTATAGCGATGGCAAACGAATTCGCACATTTGGAGATTTTTTAAATTTTGTCGGAATACCCATTGGATGGTGATTGCAGTCCCCACCAATCTGATTCGATTCTGGTTTACAGTATCAATCCGAGGATCGTATTCAGATATCGGATTGGGTTCGGATGCAGATTTGGATTGGACACGCACATCTTCATGTTACATCACTGACGTCTTGACACCACACCGTGTAATTCGGATTAGGCTCTGTAGTGAGTCTGCAACACATGGCTTAGTTCAAGTCTGTAGAATTTAAAAATTGATTGTTAGTTTTTTCTTTGCTATACTTCCAGAGAACGTTCAACATTCTGCCGACATTCGAAGCGAGCAGTCTTTGCTCCGAGCCGTATCGTCAGTTTTCACTGGTTCCGCCTAACTCTTCCCGCACGAAATTACCGCAACTACATCTTAGTTTCAAACTGAATAAGAATATTGAATACACCATGATTCAAGCCGTTGCATTGTGGATCGACCCAACCAATCAAGGTAATATCATTCATCGAATAAAACTTACCTTTTAAGGCCAAAGTGCAAGAAATCCAGTCCAGTACTCCTGATATATCAGAGGTTTTATGGTATAGGTATATTATTATACATGTAGATTTTCAACTTGAGCGAGTAAAGACCAAGAGAACACTTTAACAGTATGGATTTCCATATCTGCCGTCGCCCGTTGTCCGTCGCATTTTGCTTTTTGTTGTGTCCCAATTCTGCCACTTTCCAGTTCCAAAAAAGGCCATTTTCCGTCGTGCGTCGTGCGTCGCCTGTCGTGCGTCGTCCGTCATGCGTCGTCCGTCGTGCGTCGCCCGTCGTGCGTCGCCGATGGTTTTTTTTGGTCACGATTGCGCAGTGGTATTTTTAACGATCATTCATTTATGTCTTATGTACTGACGAGGACAAGCAACATGTTGAAGCAAGCACCCTCCACTGTATTTGAAGCAAGATATGGGACGGCGAACCCCCCCCCGCCTTTGTGTTGTCATTGTTTGATCGGAATCTCAGGAATTCTTTACAGGCTTCTAGGGGGGATGTGTTAGGTAACAATAGTCTACAGTGTGTATAGGGATTGGACAGGTAAGGGGGTACCCCTCCGTCCCATATCTTGCCTGGTATACCCCATTAAGGTCCACTCTCTTTAAGTCTTCCATTATGTTCCTTTCTTTGCGTAACACGTTATTAATGATGTACACGAAGCATGCTTATAGCGTGGCCCGTCCACTTATGCTTTACAGGTGTTGCTATAACAGTTGTGCTGCGAAATCTTTGTTTAAGTTTAAATCAAAATTACATTGTTGTTTCTTTTTGAAACAATCCTCTAATCCCGCAATATTTGAAAATTTACTGTACAATCTCTTTTCTGGTAAACATTAATAGTTCTGTCTTGGATGTCTGGAAACGATTACATCATAGTCAGGAGGTTGCACCTAATTATTATAAGCTCATTCCCAGGTCATTTGGATAGCTGTTCTTTTTAATTCACATTGAGTACAAGGACGCATTGTAAACATGTTTTCTCAGCCGTGTAGTTAGCAGTGTATGATAATTTCACCACGAAAAAGCTTTATCGATAACCAAGTTGTAATTTCAGGGTTTGATTATAATTTGATTCCCAGATCATTCCTGTGATTTATATACCTTAGGAGTCATCTCAAATC